AATTCCCCAGCCAGCATGCTGGCTGGGGAATTCTGGGAGTTGAAGTCCACACATTTTAAAATTGCTGAGGTTGAGAAACCCTAGTCTAAATCAGTAGTGTCTACCACCATGCAGTTCTTATTGGGGTAAGACAACCATAACACAGATCTTACGCTTAAAATATAAATCAGAAAGTATGAGTGAAAAAAAGAGTTGTTGCTACATAGTAAAGAAAATAGTGCGATAGCCTTGGTTAGAATCCTCTCATTCATTCACTGGGTTCCATATTTTCTAATTTATTGGACTTACATAAGCCCCGCTTAAGTTTACAGCCATAACCAAGCCCAGTCATAAAAAATGGCATGTCATCATCTTCATCACATCGTGATGGAATCATGTACTAGAGTCATGATGTCAGACGCAGTACATAAGTGGTGTCATCTATGAGATGATGTCATTATTTGTGTCATCATTGACCTCCCCTTGGCCGTCCCATCATGGAAATTTTTGATTACTTACTGTCTAAATTGCTCATCATAGGAACTGGATCATTCTCACCTAAACAGACAATGCAATGCAATCATGTCATGATTAGCTTTACTGAAGGCACTTCATTTAACAGCAGGAAATGTTTCATGTCATGCAAATGGTATGTCTCTACTGCCTTGTCTGGGACATATGTTCAAGAATTCCTTCCTTTGTAAATATTTGTGTGTGTTTCCTAAGAAGAAGAATCTGGTTTGTATTGTCAGAAAAAACCATTTAGATGCATGCACTAGCTTCAAGTGGAAGAACCACGCTAGTGTAGAACAAAGACACTCATTTTTATTACTTTTACAAGTGGCCCTCGGTGTGTGTTTTTCAAATTGCAGCTAGGGAATGTTCTTCTATCTGGGTGACATTTTTTTCCTGAAATATCCCACAAATGGATGTTCAAAAAAGCAAGGGTAGACTATGTGTAAAGAAAGATCGGTACAGCAGGAGAAAAAATTATTTTCACCTTCACAATGCTTTAGTATGATGCTTCATCACTGCCAAAACTGCTTTCAAAGGACACTACTATTGTTGTGATTGTTGCAGAAGCCCTTTGCTATTTTCAAATAATGACTTTCCCAGCAATTTTACAGCCATCTGTCCTCACTGTCATTTTTTCATCCCATTTCCCTTTCCAATTTTAGCTAAAAGTTCTGCAAAAATTTTACACTCCACACAAACAGCCAGTATTTTAAATTTTCTACACATTTTTACATTCATCAGTGTGGGCTCTGTATCTATTTCCACACTTTCTAAGAAGCACACCATATTCCTTGAGAGATATTCCACAACACAACACACAGGAAAATGAGGAAATGTACACTTTAGTTGGTGGAATTTTCCCACTATGATATGCTTGTGTAGAAACTAAAGATATATGCTATATTATTCACTCTATACTTTGTAAGTGGAATGATGATGTTTGAGTTGCTCTAAGGTTTTTTTGGGGGGGGGTCATACAATATTTATTAGAATTAATTGAATTTTGCCATCATTTGTAGACAAATATATTGTGCTGGATTTCACAATGCCCCAAATAATATCCCAGAAGCACATAAATGAACTCCCAAGAATTACTGAATATTTTGGTGTAATTATTAGATAATATCCAAAGCAGATTTGGAAAATGACCATGGTGAGTAGTATATGTATCTCTATTCCTGAGGGTGTATACCACTTTTTGGAATAAGTTTCAAAATGTTGTCTTCTTATTTAAAGTAAACTAAAGGATCTGTTCATAATCCGGTACTTGCCGTTCATTTTCTTTTCTTTTTTTTAAAGAAAACTGTATCTCCTTGAGGAATTAAATTGACAAGAGCTAAAATAGGTTAGAATTAGTGCCATGGGGGTAATAAGGAAGAACTAAGCCGCACGCCTGCACCTAAACAAATTTGTATTACAGGCTGATAAATATTCCAGAGATGGTTGGATAAATAGCTACAAAGTTCTCCCAAGAGTCCACCACCTCACCAATCCACAGAAAGCTATTAAGAAGAACCAGAGAAAGTCTCTGCCCTGAGATATTTCAGGGGATAAATTAGTTCTGTTTGAGTAATAATTCCATTGCTGAAATTCCTGTACCCCCATCCTTCTCAACTTAATAAATCTTATTAATGAAAGCTCTGCGAGATTCTTACTTTGGAAGTGTTACTTTCAGTTTGAGGTAGCTGCCAATGGTAACAGCAATTCATATTGAATTATTACTCATATTGAATTAGTCGATACCCTAAAATATCTTAGGGCAAACAATTATTCCATTTCTTCTTAACAGTTTTCTTAAGGAAGTGGACCTCTTGGCAGATAATGAACAACCTTGCAGCTGTCTGCTTACCAACAGTCTTCTGAATATCAGCCTGTGAGCTAACCATTGGACCACAGCCCCCTTCGAGCCTTCTTCTCCTCCCTCATCCCTCTTGGAACTGAAGTATCCATTTCCCTCTCCCTTATTTTGGGAAAAACCTGACTGAAACCCAACAGAAGGCTTGAAGAGTGACCACACATTGTACAAATCTAGCCCAGGATATATTTCACTGGGTCCTGTATACTGTAACTGCAACTACTAGACATCTCTTAAAGAATCACAGAAAGTTCTTATTGGCTTTCATTTCCCCTTTTCAGATTAGCAAGTTTAAGGGGAATCTGTATTTCATATTGCCAGTCCTGAAGATTACCTAAGAAAATTGCTAGTTGCTAAGCTATTTCTCTTTCTTTGAAAATCGC